AGAGCCTGATTGATCTGTTTTGTTACTTCCTGTGCTTTGAGTTCAGGGTGTCCTGGTGGTTCACTATCGGCCTTTTCATCCTCATTTGCCCTACTATTTGCCGTTGGTGAACTGGAAGTCTGTCCTTGTGTCTTGCTTAAGTGTTTTCTCATTTTAATTTTTGTTGTTGGACTGTCCTTGGTTTAACCTCTGGATTATCACCCAAATCTTCCTGATACAGTTGCACCCTAGCTTCTGTGTTTCTAATGACCCACGGACATTCTCATCTTCATAACATGAGAGGAAACAGCTCATCAAATCAACGGCAATGCTTTACCCCGACTGATACAATCAGCAACACATTAAGATCAAGCACAACTTGGACACTGACCACCTGTGGTAGTCACTAGTCTATCACCCTTAAATCATTTGAATGCAATTGAAATCAAGAAGCAGTCCAGAACATGTCTGCAGTGAACAAAGTTTTCAATGTAGTATATTAACCATTTAATGGCTCAGACAGAGCGAGGATGGAAGACCCCTGATCTCAGTTAGCTGATTGCTGAACCCCATGACGCTGACTGACCTCGGGCTGCAAGGCCCAGATTGAGTTCCCCATCCTTCTGAATGGTTGAACTCCGCAACGTTCTATTACAGGTTTCCCCCGCCCTTTCTTTAAAGATGTTCAAAGTTGGGAACTCAGAAAAATACCCTTGATGACCACCTCTGAGTTTGCAGAGTGGGTCCAAAGACTTGCACAGTCAGGAGGTCTGAGAGTGTGGGGAGGGCGGTGGGGATTATGGGGTTCAGGGGCACTCGTGCGGCTACCTTCCTGGCGCTTGAGCGATGACTCCTGGGTCGGGAGCAGGCGTGGTTCTTCCTGCGGTGGATTGGGGCCCAGCCTACCTTCCCGGCGCTTGAGCGATGGCTGCTGGGTCGGGAGCAGGCGTGGTTGTCCTTCCCACGGTGGAATGGGGCCCGGCCTACCTTCCCGGCGCTTGAGTGATGGCTCAAGAGCTGCTAGTATTTCTGTATGCAAGTGTGTATTTAATGAATCACATAGCCATAGACTATGTCTTGGAAATGCATCATTAGGTGATCACGTCATTTTGCAAACAACCTGTACTACCACAGACCCAGGTGGTGTTGGCCAGTCACTTAGTGTCTTCTTGATGCAGTCAGAGAGTTGGAAACAAAAAGGTTAGGTGGATGCTGGTAGCAAAGCATGGGATATTATTTTACAGCATACTTTTGTTTATAAGTAGGAGTGCATTCTAAAATAGCAGAAAGTGTAATATATAAACACAGTCAAATATCAAGTATTACACTCTGTGTATGGTTGTATGTGTTATACTTTCATACAGTTTATAACCTAATAGTCTGTATATGCCACCATCACCACAGACTTAAGTAATGCCTTGTGACCACTACACTGTCCCTGCATGTTAGGAATTTTTTAGCTCTATTATAGTGTTACGATATTATCATTTGCAGTCATTTAACTGACCAAAACATTTTTGTATGACATGTGACTGTAGTATCTCATCAGGGCTTTTCATTTCCTATTCTGGTTAAACTGCGAGTTCTGTTGTGCTTACAGTTAAACAAGTGGCACCTATTTTGTTTGGCAGCATTGACCACCTGACCATCCCATCGCGCTGTGGGAAAGGGCCCCTGCGGCGCATCTCTGAGGTGTTTGACTGCTGGTTCGAGAGCGGCAGCATGCCCTATGCCCAGGTTCACTATCCATTTGAAAGCAAGAGGGAGTTTGATGATGCTTTTCCCGCAGACTTCATTGCTGAAGGCATTGACCAAACCAGAGGATGGTATGTCCCTTTGTTCTTCAAGTGCTTTGTTGATTATATTTTATGGAGCAGCTGTTTTGCTAAGTGCCTGCCATAGGTCTGTTGGATGCTGTGGCTGTTCCAAACAGTACAAGCCCTGTTTCTGTGCCAATACTACTATCTGGACACAACTATCTGCCTTTTGAGCAGGATTCTGTGGGTTATAGTGTTACGATTTGAATTATTTCACTAACATTTTGGAATGTATCTATATGTTAAATTGGAAATTTAAGTAAGTAAAACAAAACAATATGTGTACTTAGCTTGTTCAGATCATTTATTCAAGTGTTTAATGAGTATTTACAACAAGACTATAAATAGATTGAGTGCTAGGAGTTTGGGAAGTAGTTGGAAATGCACTTAGATCTGCATTCTAGCCTTAAAAATTAACATTCTAAAACATCCAGATATATAAATATGTTAGGAGGGTTTGCACATTGGTTTCATTTGTGCCCTATTTAAAGCAGTACTCACATCCTCATAATGGGAAAAGTGAGGTACCTTCTTTTTATGCATAAGCCTTTTAAGGTCGTGTTCCAGTTACACTTTCATCAGTAATGTTTCTACAGGAGCCTGTTCGAGGAACTTTTGATGTCATTTTCTGCCTTTTCAATTTATTTTTGTCATTTTTAAAGTCCTTGTGTGGGTCCCATGTCGTTGCTGCCCCCTTTCCCTTCTGTTGCTCCTGGGCTGCCTCTTGGGCACCAGGAGTCCTCCCAGCCCTCCTTTGGAACTAAAATGCTGTCTCCAGACAGGTATGTATAGTTGACTGGTGTCTGGTCTCGCTGTCTGTTCATATTCTTTCATTTTCCTAGAGTGCAGACTCAAATCAATGTGGTAGGAGAGTGTTACCCCTGGTATGGCAGGGCTAGGTCACTGGCATGAGAATGTTACCCCAGAACAGCAGGAGCAGTCAGGGTGGCACATGAGTGTCACCCTGGACCGTGGAAGGCATGTGAATTCTGTCAAGGAAGAAGTAAAGTCGTGATGTATAAACAAGGTGTGTGATATTGACAGAACCAGAGGCATTTTCTATGTTACTGTCGTCTACATTTTGCCTTTTGTTATACGAGTACTTCTTGCAGTTTTGGGTTACCAGATTGTGTTGTACAGTCATGTATAAGGCATTGTACCTTGCTTGTTCTCACCAGAGATTTTGAGTGGATCTGGACCCCCACCCCCGACCCCTGTGTCACTTGTTGCTCCCTATACTGCCTCACAAAAGGAGGGTCAGCATACTGTACCCTCTTACTTGCTTTTAATGAAACAAATTTTTTTTGTGCAAACCAGAGGCTGTAATTTGATTGATCTGTGGGGGTTTTCAGCTCTCTGTTACTTTTCAACTTTCTCCATGTGATTCTATTTTTTTTTTTTTTTTTCGGTACCAGGGATTGAACTCAGGACCTTGTGCTTGCAAGGCAGCCACGGTGCTGTTGAGCTAAATATGGCCCTCTCCGCGTGATTCTGATGTGTAATCAAAACTAAGAACCATGACTTTATGTGATTATTAAGATGTAGAATGTATCAAAAATAGAAATTCAGTCCAATGAGTAAACATTTTTCCTGTGCTTGGATTCCTTTTCTTTTCTCATTGAAGTATTGTGTTTTCAGGTTTTACACCCTGCTGGTACTGGCCACAGCCCTCTTTGGACAACCACCTTACAAGAACGTGATCGTGAATGGGCTCATCCTGGCGAGGCAGGTGCTCTCCTCCCTAGTAACTAGTTCCAGTTCCTGTGTCCTTTGCTCTCACTCGCACAAACTCTTACTTATCAAAGCAGCCATTTTTTGGTTGGGCCATGTTTTTTTCTCTCTGAATAGAGGGTTTTAGGAACACTAAATTGCAGCTGTAGTCCTCTTTCTCACCCCTCCTATGTCAGAGTTCTTGCTGCTTTCCCCGTTTGATGACACTTCTGTCCTGTGCACATCTCCACCCTTTAGCTTTGTGGCTCCACTGTCCACTTGTCCCTAAGGAGAAAGAGTGCATTGAGAGCCAGGTCTCCCAGAGGGAGAAACTAAGGAAGTACTCGCAGATTGTTTGGCTACTAGTTACCCAATACTAGAACTAAGTCACTAGTAAAAATATAAGATGCGTGTAACCTAATATTTTGTGAAATACTTTTGCTTATAGGTCTTTCTTAATCTGTGCCTCGGTCCTGAAATGTAGATGTTTCTGTCTTCTTCTTTGTGTGTTTGTGTGTGGTACAGGGGATTGAGCCCCAGATTTTCACACTGAGTTAAATCCTCAGCTCTTTCTTGATTTTTAAATTTTGAAACAGGGTCTTGCTAGTCACTAAGTTGCTTAGGCCGCCTCCTGCCTCAGCCTGTCAGAGCAGTGGGATTACAGGGATGCGCCACTGTGCCTGCTCTTACCCTCTTAACATAGAAAGAAGCTTTGCGTTCTCGAGACCAGGAATGCCATGCACAGTGCTATTGAACCACAGCAGGCCAGGGATTCTGCCTCCCAATGAGTATTTCTCATGTTTTAGTATTATTGGGAGTTGTTGTTTTTCTTTTTCTTCAATTACCTCTAGTCCTTAAGAATAAAAACAAAGAAAATTTTTAAAAACAAAAGATTTACCCACACCATGCCCTAAATCCCAACATCATGTGGTATGTGACAAAAGTCCACACCTAACGTTTAGAGCGTCGTTTTCATTAGGCAGGCCCTGCTGTGTACTAATGTGTCCTGACTCATTTCATCCTCAGAACTGTTTGAAATGGTACCTATGATTATCCTGTTTTGATGATGGAGAAATTTAAAGCACAAGAAAATTAAACATGCTGAAGGTCACAGCAAATGAATCATAAATTTGAGTTTTGAAACAGCTCTACAATCTGCTTTTTTCAGCGGGGTGGTGATTTAACCCACGGCCTCATGTGTTAAGCACAAGTACCACTGAGCCCCAGCTCTTTTTTTTTCCCCCGTTGCAATTTTTATTGAGATCATAATAGATTTGCTTACAGTTGTGAAAAAGAGTAGAGATCCTTTGTTTGTTTTTTTTGCCAAATTTCCATCAGTGGTCACATTTGCAAAATAATATGTCACAGTGAGGATGTCGGCATAATGCACTGATCTCATTCATACTTCTCCAGTTTTGCGTGTATTTAATAGTAGTGCATCCTCCTTCCATGTACAGGTGCTGAATTCACCAGCACAGCCAAGAATAAATAGCTTCAACATCACGAGGGTCTCTTCCTGCTGTTCCTGATTACTACATCCCCTCCCACCTCTCACCCTTATTCTCAGTCCCCACCAACCAGTAATCTGCTATCTCTGTAACTTCATCATCTGGAGAATTTTTTGTAAATAGAATCAGTATCGAATTTCAGAGGATTGGCTTCTTTTTATGATCATAATTCCTTGGAAGTTTCAAGTTGTACATTCTTTTTCATTGCTGAGGACTGTTTCCTAGTAAGAGTATACCATAGTTTAATCTTCTGCCTGTTTGTTTTTACTGTACCAGGGATGACCCAGGGCCTGTCACATCTACCCCAACCTCCACCTCTTGAAGTCCATCTGGGTTGCTTTAAATATTTGGTGATTGTGAATACAGATGCCGTAAACATTTGTGTGTAGTTATTTATGTGACTATAAGCTTTCATTTCTCTGGGATAAGTATCAAGACATCTTCAGGGACTTATCAAGGTCCTAAAAATGATTTTTGAGACCAGAGATGTAGCTCTGCAGTAAAGTGCTTCCCTGCCACACACACAGCTGTAAGTTTGATCTTCTGCACCACAAAATAAAGAAAAAGAAATAAAGTGTAGAAGTGCCAACAAAGCAACTTTAATGTTAGCTAATAACTGCTGCTATTTGCAACTTATTGTATTTTTATTTGCAAATAATTTATATCCACAAAAGTGTCAACTGTGTTGTTTACTTATTTAATTGATTTCTACTTTTTGTTTTACAAGTGATGGACAAAAAATGAGCAAACGGAAAAAGAATTATCCAGATCCAGTTTCCGTCATCCAAAAGTATGGTGCCGATGCCCTTAGGTACAGCAGTGCTTTGTGTTGTTTTTATTCTTTGTAAGCATCTCCCCCCGGTAATCGTAATTCTTACATTTGTTTTTTTTATGCTTTTAAACATGGATCGCTGTTATATGGAAAATTCCATTGGTATACTTGTTGATTTTAAATCCCCTTAATAATTTTCTAAATAGTAAAGCTGTTTTTAAATGTGCAGGTCTTTTTCAGGAAGATCTGTTTGGATTTATGAGGCCTCCCTGGGTTATCGTGGCTTTAAATGCCTCTGCCTCACTTCCTTTCTAAATTCCTTTTCTTGCTGATATTAAGATTCTCTTCCATTATTTAATTTTACAGTTACACATGAGCTCTTTGCGTGGAAGAGCAAATTGAAAATTAATCTGGAAGAATTGAAGAAATGTCACAGAAGTTTGAGGCAGTGCTTGAAATTATATTCATTATATTCACAATTATAGTCATAATTGTGCAGTCACTCAGTGTTTCTGTTGAAAGGGCCAAAGGGACCTAGAGGTCTTGTTCAGTATTCCAGGGTCCTAGATAAGACTTGTGCCCAGACCCATGACTGTACACCTCCGTGCAGTACTGTGTGACCCAGGAACACTTAAAGCGGTTGTCCCTGGGCTATGCTATTGGTCAGACTCATTCTTGGTGCTACTGACCTTTTGAGCTGGGTCATTCTGTATGGTGAGGGCCACTGAAAGAGTGTTAATGTTTTTCCTCTTTTGAGGAACATTGGACTTTAATCTTGCTCTCTCAAACTGTCAAGTTGGAATATTCGGTTTACTATCTACATAACTTTTCTGACTATATTTTTTCCCTCTTCCAGGTTATATCTGATTAACTCTCCTGTGGTAAGAGCAGAAAACCTCCGCTTTAAGGAGGAGGGTGTGCGGGACGTCCTTAAGGATGTGTTGCTCCCATGGTACAATGCTTACCGCTTCTTCGTCCAGAACGTCTTGCGGCTCCACAAGGTAATAGCCCACAGTCTGCTGCATGTATGCTAAGAAGCGGAGTCTGGTGTAGGATCTCAAGGCATTTTGTTTCTTCTCTGATCTGGGATCACCCAGAGCTATGGGGAGAATGGACACCATGGTGTGACAGGTGTCTGGGGCCAGGTGGGACACAGACCTTGACTGGAAGAAGAGTTATGTGATGTAATTGTTTCTTCAGCCCGTTCTTGATGCCAGGGATTCCATATTGACTGAGATACCCCTCCCCTTATGGTAGAATAGGATAGTGGAATAAGGGGAGACAGTAAAATAGTCATCTGTCAGAATGAGTGCCTGGTGAAGGGCAGAGCTAGGGGGAGACTGGCCACTTGAGAGAGGGGAATGCTACTCTGGGATGAAACTCAGAATGACAGTGGTCTGGGAAGGTCTTTAGGATAAAAATATCAGGTGTGTGTTCTGTGAACATGCCCTTCACAGCAATTCCCTGCTTATCCTGGAGCCCCCTCCTCACAACTCTGTCTAGTGCTACTTCCCCAGCCCTTATCTGACCACTCTCAGGGCCCCTCACCTCCAGCACATGTTTCTGTGCATACATTCAAGACCTAGTTTGGGGTGAGAACCACAAGACTTCATCTTATCTCCAGCACCTGTCAAGTAGAATATGCTAGTAGATCGCTACTGAATGCTGTGTGGCTATATTCCTATTGGATTGGGCCTGGAAGCTGGTTAGAATGCCAGTAGCTGGATCATTCGAGTTCTTCTGCCTCTGGATGTTGCTCAGCTCATTCTGATAATGAAGACAACAGTATATTCACCTGCAGCCTCTGCTTGTGGGGGGACTCGGGACACACCTGCCCACAGTGGGAGCCCCGCCATCATGCCCCTAACAAGAGGCAGACTTCTCACCATCAGATGCTTAACCCCAGAGGAGGAGTCACATCCCCACTGCTTCGCTAGACTTGTGGTGCTGCCTTGAGTTAGGACTGGTGAAATGGGCTGTTAGGATAAACTAGTTTTGCAAAGCTAGATGCAGGAGGGATATTCTAAGGAGAGGAACAGACTAAGCATGGAAATGAACCCTCTACTTCTTTTCAGTACTGTGATCATTTGATCTTGAATAGTTTTCTTTCCTAGGTTTAACTCAGTTCTACACAAGATATTTTAGTATCTGTCAATTCATAATAATTCTTTAATGCAAAGAAGTAGTTTTTTTCCTAAATTTTCTTCATTCTATTGATAAAACATCATTACTTGAAGATTTAATGTCCCAAGTTAGTGCTTGTAAAAGTTAGATTGCCTGTAGGGTGGTTTTTATTTTTGTTTTTCTTTTAGTTTGAGCGATTCAGAGAGTTTATTTCTTTCATAGTAACTTCCCTGCCATGCATATGAATTCTTGCTAATTGTTTGTAGGAGGAAGAAATAGAATTCCTTTACAATGAGAATACAGTCAAAGAAAGCCCCAACATTACAGACCGGTGGATCCTCTCCTTCATGCAGTCACTCCTGGGCTTCTTTGAGACTGAAATGGCAGGTAAGTCTCTCTTGGCTGTCCTCCTGGGGATAAGGATCTTTCTTTATAATTGTCTTTCTGATATTTAACTTTTTCTTCATAAACACAGAAATTTTCAAGATAGAAAAATGGCAGATAAGTCATTGTTTACTTTAACCTCCAAATACAGATTTGTTAAGGCTTGTTAGTTTTAGAAATGTGTTTCCAGGCTCTGGGGAATTCTGTCTGAGGAGGTATCTAGTGGCCTCATCCCTCCACAGAGGAGTGCAGCTTTGGCACTGAATAACCACGAGGTTCAAACTCAGGTCTACCACTTGGCGCCTATGTGAGAGGGTCACTTCAAGTCTGTGGATTGTTTGCATCCATTCATTTATACTTTGATTATGAAACAGCCCCTGTCCATTCAGAATTCAAAGACTCAGAATAGCAATAATGAAATTTCCCCACATTTCTGTTACTCAATCAACAAGTGAGCTTGCTTTTAGCTGGAGGTTTACCAAGAGGATTATGTTGGCTAATTCAAGGTTTGAGACAGACAACCAAAAATCCTAGTGAGAAATTCTAGGAATTTCTGGCTCAAACACTCTGGTAAAGTAGTCTCAGATCATAGGGAGGACAAGGCCAGGTGAGGTTACCTGCGTTCCCGGCACGCTTTTAGGCAGGTGCAGCCAGCCATAGTAGGACTGTGGTTCAGCATCAGTCTGGCTACCAGAACTTGGTTCTCCCTGGAGTAACCAGTGCACTACAGATGGCAGAAAAGCAGACGAATTAGTCACCTGACATGTCCATCCCATTAGACGTGTAGTAGGATCCTGACTGTCAAGCTGTTGTCCATACTGACATGAGTAAGGATGGAAATGAGTTTGAGGGAAGGGCAGCGCTCAGTAGGACCTCTCCACACTCTTCATGGACACTCAGGGTTGTGATGCAGGTGAATGGGAAACGTGGGCTTTGTTTTCAGAGGCCCCTATCATCCTTTGGCACCAGCTGCCATGATTTTCCAGAAAGCTGGGTCTGGAGAGTGCACACCCCCTCCAGAGCATGATCTGCCTAGGAACTATAGACCAATGGCCACATGGCAAAGATCATGTGCAAGAGGCCAGGCATCTCTAGAGACCAGCTCATGACCCAGGCTACAGTTCAGGTCCCAGCCCTGCCTGCCTGTCCTCTGCATGTCCCCAGGTCCTCATCAGCAAGGTAGCTAAGAGAAGACCTACCTCACAAGTTGGAGGCAGCACCTTTGACTCTGTGGTTACTATTTGTGGCCTCAGCAGAGGCTGCTGCCACCCTCCTGTATTACCTGCTAGTTGAATATGGGGATCATTTACTCTGTAAGAGGTGAGACCTGAACCCATTAATATAAATTCTATTTGTTTATAATTTTTGGTTTTGGGTGAACATGAGAATCCACAGAATAAGACTTGCCTTGGGTAAGATTGGCTCAGTGCCTCATGAGTTCCTTAGGAGTCCCTCCAGATTCTAATCCTTCAAGAGACCTATCTTTTTTTTTTTTTTTTTTTTTTTTTGTCAACTGTTTTAACCCTAGGAAAACATGTTGTATTTTTTTTTCAGCTTTAATTGAGTTTATTGGTACATTTTAAGGATACAGTTACATTCATTGTTGGGATCTTCTACCTCTACATGACAAGTCTTGGTTCTCATTTTTTTCCCTTGTCCCTGCCCTCCCTTCACCCTCTCCTCCCCTCCCCATCTACAACCACTTTATTTCTCCAACTTCTGTATTATTGCAGATTATTCACACCAGAGAAACTATTCGGTATTTACACATGTGTGCCTTATTTATTGTACTTAGTATATCTTCAATATGTATCCATTTTCCTATGAATAAATCTATTTTCTCATTCTTTATGGCTGAGTAATATTCTATTTTATAGAAAAACCACATCTTCTTTATCCAGTTTCCAACGGATGGGCAAATGGGCTGTTTGAAAGTTTTAGCTATTACAAACTGTGCCGCTATAAACATGGGTGTGCATACTTCTCTGTGATATGATTCATTTAGTTCTTTTGCAAAGATACTCAGCAGAGGGATGGCTGGGTCAAATGGAATCTCCAGTCCAAGCTCTTTGAGGTATCTCCGTATTGATTTCCATAGTGGTTGTACCAGTCTGCACTCCCACCAACAATGGAGAAGGGTTCCTTTCTCCCTACAACCCCGCCAACATTTGTTATTGGGTGATTTCTTGATAGCAGCCATTCTTTGTGGGTTGAGGTGGAATCTCAGTGTTGTTTTCCTCTGCATCTCTCGAATGATCAGTGATGTGGAACATTTTTTCATGTATTCACTTGCTGCTTTTACTTCTTTGTCTGAGAAATGTCTGTTCATTTCAGATGCCCATTTTTGAATTGGGTCTTTATATTTGGGGGGGCTGATTGTTTTGAGTTCTTTATATATTCTTGATAATAGTCCTTTGTCTGAGGAACAGCTTGTGAAAATTTTTTCCCACATTGTAGGTTGTCTCTTAGTTCTGCTGATGGTTTCTTTTGGAGTACAGAAGCTTTTTAATAATGAGATCCCAGTTATTGATTCTTTTTGCTAGTTCCCGTGCTACTGAGGATTTGTTCATAAAGTCTTTTCCTATGCCAATGTCTTCCAGAGTTCTGCCTAACTTACCTTCCAGCAAGTTTAATGTTTCTTCTGCTTTAATATTTAAATCTTTAATCCATTTGGATTTTAATTTAGTGCATGGTGAAAGATAAGGGTCTAGTTTTAATTTGTGGTAGGTTGAAATCCAGTTTTTCCAACACCATTTATTAAAGAGGCTATCTTTCCTCCACTGAGAATGGTCAGCTCCTTTGTCAAAGATGAGGTAGCTGAGTATATCTGGATTTGTTTTTGTGTCTTCTAGTCTGTTCCACTGATCCTCAGGCCTGTTTCTTTGCCAGTACCATGCTGTTTTTATCACAGTGGCTTTGTAGTATAGTTTCAAATTGGGAATTGTTATAGCCGGTGCCATGTGTCTGTTGCCTAAGATGACTTTTGCTATTCTAGGTCTCTTATGGTTCCAAATGAATTTTTGGATTCTTTTTTCTAGTTCTGTGAAATATAGTGTTGGAATTTCAATTGGCATTGCATTGAATGTATATAGCAGTTTTGGTAGTATGGCCATTTTCACTATGTTGATTCTTCCTACCCAGGAGCAGGGGATGTCTTTCCATATTTTTATATCCTCTTCAATTTCTTTTTTCAGAGTGCTGTAGTTTTCAGTGTAGAGATTTCGTATGTTGAACCACCCTTGCATCTCTGGAATAAATCCTTCTTGGTCAGGATGGATGATCTTCTTGATAATCCTCTGTATTCTGTTTGCTAGTATCTTATTAAGGATTTTTGCATCTATATTCATTAAGGAGATTGGTCTGTAGTTCTCCTTTTTAGTTGCATTTTTCCCTGGTTTGGGAATCAAAGTGATACTTGCTTCTAGGAATGAATTTGGAAGTATAGCTTCCCTTTCAATTTCATTGAAAAGTTTGAAGAGAAATGGCAGTAGTTCTTCTCTAAATGTCTTGTAAAATTCAGCAGTGAATCCAACAGGACCAGGGCTTTTCTTTGTTGGTAGATTTCTAATTACATTTTCAAATTCACTGATTGTAATTGGGTTGTTTAAAATGTTTTTATCTTCTTCAACTTTGGTAATTCATAAGTATCTAAAAATCTGTCCATTTCTGTGTTTTCCATTTTATTAGAGTACAGGTTCTCTAAGTAGGTATTAATGATGCTCTGGATTTCTTTTGGCTCTGTTCTGATTTTGCCTTTTTCATTCCTGATTGCATGGATCTGAGCCTTTTCTTTCCTTTTTTTTTTTTTTTTTTTTTTTTTTTTTTTAAGGTTAGCTAATGGTTTATCAATTTTATTTATTCTTTCAAAAAACCAACCTTTTTTTCATTTATTTTTTGTATCGTTTTCTTAGTTTCTATTGCATTGATTTGTGCTCTTATCATCTTTATAATTTCCTCTCTTGTTCGAGCTTTGGGTTTTTCTTACTCTTGTTTTTCTAGGAGTCTAAGTTTCATCATTAGGTTGTTTATTTGAGCCCGCTGTTTTCCTAATGTCGGCATTCAATGTTATGAATTTTCCCGGTAGAAGTGCTTTCATTGTGTCCCATAGATTTCTGTGTGTTGTATTGGCATTTTCATTTATTTGTAAAAACTGTCTAATTTCTTCTTTAATTTCCTCTGTAATCCATTGATTGTTTGGGAGAGTGTTGTTCAGTTTCCATGTGCATGTGAAGTTCTTACAGTTTCTTGTGCTATTGATCTCCAGCTTGATTGCACTATGATCTGATAATATAGAGGGGATGACTTCAATTCTTTTGCATTTATTCAGACCTGTTCTGGGAGCCAATATGTGGTCTATCTTGGGAAATGATCCATGTGCAGCCAAAAGAATGTATATTCTGATTTTGTGGGGTGGAATACTCTGTAAACATCTATTAAATCCATGTGTTCCAAAGCTTGGTTCAGTTCTATCATTTCATTGTTGATTTTCTGCCTAGATGATCTGTCAGTTTGTGATAGTGGGGTATTAAAAATCCCAATAAAATTGTATTAGTGCTTATCTGGTTTTTCATGTTACTTAATATTTATTTTATATAGTTGGGGGCATTTATATTTGGTGCATATATGTTTATGATTGTCAGCTCTTCCTCTTGAATTGTTCCCTTTACAAGGATGTAGTGTCCTTCTTTGTCTCTCTTAATGAGTTTTGGTTTGAAATTTACTTTATCTGAGAATAAAATTGCTACCCCTGCTTTTTTCTGTGCTCCTGATGCATGAATTGTTTTCCATCCTTTCACTTTCAGTGTATGGGCTTCCTTTTGCACTAGGTGTGTTTCTTGTATACAACATATTGCTGGATTTTGCTTCTTAATCCATTCTGCCAGTCTGTTTCACTTGATTGGTGAATTGAGGCCATTAACATTGATGGTTATAACTGATACATTCTGACTTATTATTGTCATGTTATTGTCCTTTTGTTGACTCTTTTAACTTTTTTCCTGTCTCCTTTTAGTTTCTTGCCTTGCCTATTTGATTTGGTCTGTTGGGCCTCATGGTATTGTGACCTTCATTGTCCTTTTCTAGGATATTGTTTAGAATTTCTTGTAGTGCTGGTTTGGTGTTCATGAAATTTCTCAGGTATTCTTTGTCATGGCAGTATCTTATTTCCCCATCTATTTTGAAAGAGTGTTTTGCAGGATACATCACTCTAGGTTGGAGATTATTTTCTTTTAGGACTTGGAATACCTCACTCCAGGCTCTCCTTGACCTAAGGGTTTGTGTTGAAAAGTCTGCTGTGATTCTAATGGGCTTTCCTTTGCATGTGATTTGTTTCTTTTCTCTTACTGCTTATAGTTTGTTTTTCTGTTGGATTTCTGGGATCTTGATTATTATATGTCTAGGTGTAGATTTTTTTTGATCATGGCTAGTTGGAGTTCTATATGCCTCACTTATCTGTATGTCTAATTCTTCCCTTCTGTTTGGGAAGTTTTCTGTCATTAATTCTGTGAAGAGCTTTTTTATATCATTTGCGTTTTCTCCTGCTATTTCATGAATTCCTATCAGTCTTATGTTATTTTTCTTTGTGTCGTCTAGAAGTTTTTGGATTGATTTCTCATGATTCCTTACTGTTTTTGAGAGATCTCTTTTCACGGTCACTGACTGCGATCCTATCTTCTATATCTGAAATTCTATCTTCACAATCTTTTATTCTCTTGTGTACCTTTCAATAGAGTTTTTAATCCCCTGTATATCTGTTTGAATCTGTTTTATGGATTCTATTTCTTTCCTCTGTTGGGCATTCATTGTTTCCATTTCTTTCTTATGCTGAGTCTTCATGGCTTGTATCATGGTCTTGAGCTCATCTATTTTTTTGTCAGTTTCTGTTCTAGAGTCTCGAATCATGACTTTCATTTTGCTCATCATCTCTCTGGTTAACTGGGAAATTATTTCTGATTTGAATTTTTCTAGAGCCTGATTGATCTGTTTTGTTACCTCCTGTGCTATGGGTCCAAGATGTCCTGCTGGTTCACTATCAGACGTTTCATCCTCATTTGTCCTACTGTTTGCCATTGGTGAACTGGAAATCTGTCTTTGTGTCTTACTTAAGTGTTTTGTCATTTTTATTTTTGTTGTTGGGTTGTCCTTTAATTTTTAGATATTACTTAAATCTTCCTGATATAGTTGCGTTTTAGCTTTTGAGTCTCTAATGACTCATAGACATCCTCATTTTCATAATATCAGAGAAAACAACTCATTAAATCAATCACAATCTTTTATCCCAATTGATATTCAGGAGCCCAATAGGATCATGCACAGCTTGCAAACTGACCACTTGTGGTAGTCAATAATCTATCACCTTTAAGCCATGTGAATTAAATTAATATCAAGAAGCAGCCCAAAATATGTTTGCAGTGAATATGCTTTTCAATATAGCATCTTTACCATTTAGGATGGGGGGTTAGACTCAGGACGAGAGGAGTAGATAAGTGAAAGAACTGGAGCAGGTTTGAAGTGAATCCAGAGGATGTAGAATTACCTTACTATCTTTACAAAGCTATCAACTTCAGCAGGGATAGAGAGTGCAGGAATAAGGACAAGAATATATCCCCTTAACAGTAACAGGTGCTTGCCTTCCCTTGAAGCTACAGAGCCATGAGTGAGGTAAAATGACTGGAGAAAAGAACATAAAGAAAAAACAAAACAAATCAACCCCCCCAAAAAAAGGAAAAATAATAAAAGAAGAAGTCTGAGTTAGGGCAGTAACAGGAATAAAAAGGGAGATGAGTGATAATATGGTGGAGCAAGAGACTGAATTGGAGAGAGAGGACAGAAAAAAGAAAGAAATTTTAGGGTGGAATGAGGAAAAAAAAAAAGAATTTGAAGGGCCTCTTTCAGACTATGTCTCTGTTGTCATATTATACCACATGTACAGCCATATGCAGAACCGAATCCCCTGGTCTCGGCTAGCCAATGGCAGGGCCCCACAACTGAGACTGACCTCAGTCCTTAAGACCTAACTTGAGTTTCCCAACCCACAGGGTTGAATTCCACTCAGTTCTATTACAGGTTTCCCCTGCCCTTTCTGTAAAGATGTTCAAAGTTGGGAGCCTAGAAAACTACCCTTCATGAGCACCTATGCCTCTGGAGAGTGGGTCCAAGGACTGGCCCAATCAGGAGGTTTGAGAACAGGGGGTGTTGGGGGGGGAGCAGGTCATGTGGGTGTTTCAAGGGCGCCCGCGTGACTACCTTCCTTACTGGATATGGTGGCGCGCAGTCCAGTAGGTCGCTCACCCGCCCGCCGGGTGGTCCCGGGCAGGCAGCTGGAGAGACCTCCAAACCTGTTGTATTTTATTTGTAGCTTTTGCCCGATTTTCTCAACAGCTGCATGATCTACAGTTTGGACTGGATCCCTTCTTTTGGGGCGCTGTACCATGTGTCGTGAATTACTACTGAGTAGCATTCTTGGCTTCCCTGCTCGATGGAGCAACACCCTAGGCACACACTCCACAAATCAAGAAAACCGAAACGTTTCTCTGGGCATTGCCGAATGTCTTTGGTGGAGCAGAATTGCTGGTGACAGAGCTGATGGTCCATGCTGTTCCTTGAGCACCAGTTGAAGCTTTCTGTTTTTGGTCTTTTAGTGGGGTGTGAAGTAGCGCGGAAAGAAGCTGGGCTTTGTTGATACCATTGCATTGCACAGCTCTGTGCTTTCCTTTCTGAGGTCTGGGAGCCCAGACTAGAGATTGGGTTTTTCTCTCCAACTGATACAGGTTTGCAAATAGCACAGGGTGGTTCTGCGTGCACCTCTGTAAACACTGCCTGTTGTTTATTGCATCCTCAATAAATCAGCCATTTGGCTGGGGATTTAGCTCAGTGATTCTGCCGCCTGCCTCACAAATGAGCCGTTTGTGATTGCATCACTCTGACTCGGGTCTCCTTAGCAAGTGAGGGCACCTGGTTGGAAGGGGCTGTGTGTTTCTCGTTATATCCAGCCTCCTCCCGCCCCAAAGCGTGGCACAGGCTGCCTGACTGCTTCTGCTTCTCTCTCTTACAGCTTATAGGCTTTATACTGTGGTGCCTCGCCTGGTCAAGTTTGTAGATGTTCTGACCAATTGGTATGTCAGAATGAATCGTAGAAGGTTAAAGGTAAGTGCTGGTGAGAAAAACAAAATTATGTACATGTGAGGGTTGAAGGAAGAGAGCAGCTAAAAAAAGAAACATTGCCCATAGCTCTCAGTTTTTGAAACTATCTTATTTTTCCTCTGACATTACATATTAACAGTATTGCTAGACCTGCAAGTTCCAATAGTCACTTCTGCATATTTTCACAACATAACCTCTTAGATTTCTATAGATCTTGTCAGCTAAGGCGGGGATCTTAAGTGTGGCACCTCCTTCTCCCCCTGACAGGCATTTATTTATTAAGTGTTGGCTGTGGATGAAACTCTTCCTTAGCTGTTGGGGGCTTAGAATGAACAGAGCATGGACCCTGGTCCCAGGACTTACACTATGTGCAGAAATAACAGACAGACAAAACACAGAAAGGGATAGTATCATCACTTCAGAGCAGGTAGAGGCTCCTGCCTCCTAGTGGTACTTGTAAAATCTGTTAGTAACAACATAACTGATTTAATGTTGATTCAAGTATAAATACATTTCTACACATATGTTGTATCTAGGGGGGCATATGCCAAAATGTTTTTATTATATTTTTTGAGTAACTTCATCTGGTTAGATTTTCTGTTTTAATCATCTTTATTTTTTTCCTACAATGATTACTTTAAAAAACATGGTGTAAGCCAGGTGTGATGGTAGATGCTTGTAACCCCAGCACTCTGAGGCAGGCTGATCTCAAGTTCAAGACCAGCCTGGGCAACTTAATGAGACTCTTTCTCAAAATAAAACAATTTGGGCTGGGGATTTAGCTGCTGCTTGCCCGAATTCAGTCCCCGGTACCAAAAAAAAACAAAAAACGCTCATCAACATAGAACATTTTGAGCCAGGGATTTAGCTCAGTGGTTCTGCTGCCTACCTTGAAAGTGCAAGGTCCTGAGTTTGACCCCAGTACAAAAAAAAAAAAAAAAAATCTTAAAGATAGTTTAGAATTTTTCAATAGCAGCTGTTTCTGTCTGCATGTGAAATCCATTCTACCCTTCAGGGACACAGTCTATCTTCATCTGCCAGTTTTTGAGCCACCTTCCAGCTCCTTGGCCTCATAGGCATATGGTTGGAGGGTGGCAGATACACATGCTGTGTTGGCCTCCCTTGCCAATCTGCAGGGCCACCGTATGGCCTGACCCTAGACAGCCATGTAGTGGCTCTTCTCCTTGTCCTGTCTGTGTGTTGTGTGTTTTCTGTGTATTTCTTTGTTTTAATAAACATTTTGTTTTAGAGCTGGGCGTGGTGGCGCACGCTTGTAATCCCAGCACTCGGGAGGCTGAGGCAGGAGGATCACTGTGAGTTAGAGACCAGCCTGGGCTACATAGTGAGTTCCAGGTCAGTCTCAACTACATAGTGAGACCCTGTCTCAAAAAACCAAAAAATAAATATAAAAAAAATAAACATTTTGTTTCCTATGGTAAACACCCATTTGTTACTAGTATATTATTTCTTTGTTATTCACTAGGGTGAAAATGGGACAGAGGATTGTGTTATGGCCCTGGAGACCTTGTTTAGTGTCCTGCTCTCTCTGTGCAGACTGATGGTAAGATGCTTAGTTCTTCTAACACTGGCCTGTGAGCTTTCTGTGGTACCTATGCTGCAGCTTCCTCACTTGTATCTGTTTGACAGAGAAGCCCACCTTGTATTTCCACTTAAAATGGCTCATGTGCTAGATCCTTTTCAGAAATCTTGCCAGTTTACATATGCTAAGTCAAGGCTAAGAAACACTAAACTCTTGTGGTCACTGGTAGTACAGCAGTGGTAAGCATCCCTACATCTAGAGGGATTGGTAGTTAGAGCTAAGACATGCCTTGCCTTAATGTGGATTCTCAGAACTGTCACCAGGAGGTTTCTAAACTCCTACTGGACTGAACAGATACATCGCAAACAATATTCTCAACTTAGCATCGAGAGAAAAATGTTCAGGCAGTTGCTTGTGCAACATGTTCTTACCAGTTAAAACATTAGTTCAATGAAACTCAAGTGAGAAGGCGCCAGCTGTAGTTCCGTGTGTCCTGTTCTGCTGTTTCTGTATAATATTGCAAGCCTTCTGTTTATCTTGTGTCTGCCTTCTGTTGCGTCCTGTACCTGGTGTCTGCCATGCTCGACCTCATCCACCTGCACCCTGTGAAGTAGGTGGTGTTTTCCCCAGTTACAGATGAGGCTTCTGAGGTCCGGGACAGTCAATCCTCTGCATATTTACATGGCTGATGCTTGGTCAGAGGCTCTGCTTTCTCAGACATCCTCTAGGAGTCTGTAGAGGTATTTTGGGTCCGGCTAGTTATATCCCTACTGCTGTGCTTCACAGTGAGGTCAGTTTTCTTTCATAGAGCTTGTCTGTGACCTTGTGCCTGTGTCTGTGTGTCACCCTCAAAAAAGCGTATGACTTTCTCAGCATGAGTGAAGTAGCTGGTGGTGGCTGTATATGAATGACGTGATACTCTGTGTCTCTTTTATACAGGCCCCTTACACACCATTTCTCACTGAATTGATGTACCAGAATCTAAAGGCGCTGACTGATCCCGTTTCTGTCCAGGATAAGGATACACTCAGTATCCACTACCTCATGCTGCCTCGTGTTCGGTAGGAATCGAATAAGCTTTACCTACGCCATGGGAAGGGATGTTGCCAGAGCATGTGGACGCCAGCCTCCCAGGGAGGGAATGCAGACAGCTGGCCTTTCTGTGCTTCAGCACCTCTGTGCCCATCTTCCTACCTAAGCTCATGTGAGCTGCTTGTCAAGTTGCACTATGGGCTCTCCTTTGATAGGCAGTAGGGGGATGCTGGATATAGAACCCCTCTGTACAACTGAACACGCCCCTTAGGGACACCTGAGGAGCTAATTGTGTGGCTCCATTCCCCAGCCCTAGGGTAGGCCCAGGTGTATTCCTTCCCCGGGTAGTGGCCCAGGAAGCCTTGCCACCCCATCCCTTCTTTAGCCTAACCATCTTCCTCACTTAAGCAAGCCTGTCTTCCCCTTTTAAATCTAATCTCTCATATTTCTCTACTGATCAGAGAGGAACTGATTGACAAGAAAACTGAGAATGCAGTGTCTAGGATGCAGTCCGTCATTGAACTTGGGCGAGTGATCCGGGACCGAAAAACTATTCCAATAAAGGTTTGATGTTTTATTTAGATTTTATATGGCATGCAGACCTAAATAATTGTCTTCCAATTAATAACTCTTAATGTATAGAGTCTCCAGCAGTAGAATAATTTATTTTCCTTTTCTGCAGTAAGTGTGTGAATGATTTGGTATTAGTTTAGCCTACTCAGTCTATAGTTTAAGATTCAGAAAAACATCATTTCATTTAAAGGAATGGCTCCTTAATGAAATTACATCTTCCATTTTCTCCTAGTATCCTTTGAAAGAAATTGTGGTTATCCATCAAGATCCCGAAGCTCTGAATGATATCAGTTCCTTGGAGAAGTATATCCTTGAGGTAAGGTAATTTGTTTGTTTAAGTCTAAGTGGATTTTTTTATTTGAGAAGACTACTTTTTTTTTAATATTCCTCAATGAAGTTCTTTTTCTTTTGTAAAGCAGCATATATATATATAT